TACAATATGATGATTGTAAAGATAAACAAAAAATTTAAAAGATAATTATGTTTCTAGTCCACACATTATTTTATATGTAAAACAATAATTTTGTTTTAAAATATTTTTTATTTTTAATAATTTATTATTTATAATTTATAATTTATTAATTATTATTTAGTTCTTTTTTATGATTCTTTACATGTATAATATGTAAAATAATTATTTGTCAACATTATATGTTTGAATATAAATGCGTTCGCGCTATGATCATACGAGAGTGTGAACGATTAATATAAATGCGTTCGCGCAATGATCATATAAGAGCGTGAACGATTAATATAAATGCATTCGCGCAATGATTATATGAGAGCGTGAACGATTAATATAAATGCATTCGCGCAATGATTATATGAGAGCGTGAACGATAACATACAGCAAGTAATATGTATATATATATTGTATATATACATATATCGCTTCAGAGGGTTCTACGATCTATCGGTGAGATCTGTATACATTCCATCGGTATTATTCATACAGATATGTCAACATTTCTTGTTCTAGAGGACTCTATTTACGTTTTTTTGATGATTCTTACAGAGTTTCGAAGGTGAATGCTTCGAGAGAGGGAATCAGTATTCGCTGAAATTTCGTGAAAGACAGTTAGTGCCTTTTCTCAAGTGTCTAAAATGTCTCAATTTTCGTTAGAAAATTATATGAGAATAACTCGAAACGGTGATGAGACATTCTTTGTCAAGTGTCTTTTGGATTGTACTAAGGAGATACAACCTCCTTGGAACCGAATTAGAAGAGTAAACCCTGAGAGAATTTATCTACATTTTTTCAAGTACCACTGGAACATTTTGTTAACCGGAGTTACTCACGAAGACATAGTAAATGCCGTGCAGCGCAGGTTAGATTCTGTGACAGATAAATTACCTAACAGGTAATTATATATAATTAAAATTTTATTTTTTATTAAAAAAAATTTTTTAAAGCCATTTTTGGACAGGCCGTGTAACTAAATAACTAAGTAAACCAGTTTTTTCCGTCAATTATGAGTTAGTTCCAAATTAAATTAAGGACGTTCTGGCTATAATCCCAGATAAAAGTTACTGAAATATGAAATTGATGATATTCTAGACTTTTATATGTAGATACGCACCATATCGTGCTCGTATCGTGTAAAGGACTAATTATAGGACTAATTATATTTGGCATTACAAATTAATATATTTGTGTATTTTATAAGTTTTATGATTGTCGGCAAAAAACTTTTGGACTTGAATTTCACGTTCAAAAGTTTTTTGCCGACAATCATAAAAC